TTTTTATTTTTCTCTCTTTTTCTTTCACAACATCTGAACCATTTCTTCTCAAAATCAGTGTTTATTCCTTTCTGCATTAGGCCTGGGTGTGGACAGGGCATAGAGTTCAATATGTATCGAAATGCCCACTTAGGTCTCGTCCTTTAGGTGAGAAACAGAACAGTTGTCAGTTATGAAGTGGGAGTAAAAGTCTGATCTTTTCCCCTTCCTGTAGCCCAGAGTGGTCTTGTGAATCATGATCTGAGCTGGACCGAACTTCCTCTCAATTCTCTATTAAAACACGTATCATGAACCTTGAACTAAAAATGACTGTGTTGGGTCTCTATGGCCGCTACATAATGCTTAATCACAGGATTTCATCTAACTTTCAGAGGACCAAGGGAATTATGAGACAGCGTTCTTAGTGTGGTTGGAAAGAGTTTCTAAACTCCCTGGCATGTCTGTCGGTAAAAAATTATTTGTTAGATCTCTTTCTGTTCCTTTTGTAATATCTTTACCTTATCTTTGATAATATATAGAGATGGATAACAAACCTAGCTTGCCCTCTAGCTAATAATGCTTCATGTTATAGAAGAATCACACCAGATCTTTAGCTATAATCACTCGAGCTTAACAACTGTTAAATCTAAAGTTTAGACACATGAGTTGAAAGCCTCCAACCTCCTATCCTTGGCACTGCTATGTACTGTCTAAAAAGTCCTTTGGCCTCTCTACAGGGCCATTTGTGGTAGACAGAGTCACTAGTACTTCCAAATCCTCATGTCTTATCAAGCCACTTCTGTGGGGCTCTTTTATCTTGTCCTTGTTCTGCATTGGGTACCTACTTCTTCTCCTCCACTCACTGGTGAGCTTAGTAGCACAACAGGGAAATGGGAAAACCCCAGTGCAGTGGATCTTTCCACTCCCCTCCCCTCCCCAAAACTTATGTTGGTGGTGACATGCTCAGCCTGGCTACCACTAAGACGAAGATGCTGGAGAAGCCCAGAATCCATCCCTCACCCCTGGATTATGTAGGTCATTGAGTGGTCAACATATTTGTATACTCATCTCTGAGATGCATAGCCTGAAAAACAACCCTGACAAATAGCTATCTGTCTTGAGCCTTCTAGTTAATTTGGTCTGCTGTTGTCTAATTGTGTAAATTCTTCATATGTAACCCTAATACATCTTGCTGTAGTTTATCTCCTTGACAACCTTGTTCCATGGCGTCTGAAGAAAGAGTTAATATCCACAAAAAGTAAAATTGGTTTAGGCAAGGTAGTCCCAATAGTCATTGTTATGGATGCTAGAATGGGACCTACGATGAAGCTAAAAAACATTTTTTCCTGGAGAACATTTCAAAGTTTAGAATCAGATTTAATTTACAGCAAAAGTGAGTATAGCAAGACACAGAGAGAAACTTCTCAGGTGAGAAAGGTGAAGAATTCCTAAATATTAATTCAGGTCATCAAAGGAATCCATGTTTTTTGACTCTAGAATGAGTACTCCCTTGGTAATAGGAAGGAAAAAAGAAAGTAAAGGAACCTTCTTGTTCTGAGAAGCACAATGACAAATTTTTTAAGGTTGAAGTCAGGGGTATGGGATATTTTCTCCTGACTTTTCCCTTTTCTCCACAGCCTGATTTTTCTCTGCCCAGTTTCTTCCTGTCTTCCAGCACCATCCTAAATTAATACAATCTTAGAATTGAGGCAGAAGTTACACTTACCTGTCTGCTGGTAGAGGGCCGAGTCTGAGGCAAAGTGGCTCTCAAAGCTGGGCCAAGCCCTTTCCAGGTATTGAGATTGAAGTGAGGACAGTGAGAAAATATCATATTGCATATTGTACCTTTCTCTCTGTCCTCATTAAACTGCTGTTGCCAGCTTGAAAGGGGAAGCGGAAATGAGAAAACACACACGCACAGATACACATATGCAGTCTCCGCCTCCCACCCCAGCCACATCCTTTGCTCTAGCTCAGGAGACTGACTGAAGAACAAAGTATCTGAAGTCATTGAGCTCACCACTAGCGAGCTCTTCCCGGCAGAGAGCTGCCTCTGTCTTTCCGAAACAACAGGGGATCTTTTCCTATTAAAGGAAAGGAACAGCTTATGTAAGCATGGGTGTATAGGAAAGTCTTCTCTCCATATAACTAGAATCCCGCTGTCACCAGGAGGAGAGGTATCTAAAATGATGGTAAAGCTCTCTCTGGAAAACCAACTCGCATTTATCTCAGAGAAGATGCCTATAGCCCTATCACAGACTTAAGAGAGCTCTACGCCAAAAATGGACCTGTTTTCATAACTCTTTCACACTCTGGTAAATTCTCCAGAAGCTTGTTTTCAAGTGCTGTACACCATCATAAGCCACTTCTTTTTCCAGGTTGACTTCTTGGCACTTTGTTTTTATGTTCAAACCACTTCAAAATTTTTCTTTTTTAAAGTAAATGATTGCTTTCTCAAGAAAATTTTAAAACTTGATGTTTAAAAATCCTTCACACCCTAGAAATGTCTTCAACTTATTGGCTTTTAGTTCCAAGAAGCCTATTAAACTCAAAAAGTTTTTCTACTCCTCAGTCACTTTCACCCTGGCTAACATTCAGCATGGTTGACTGTCCCTCTCCCCACTTCACCATTACCTGCTAACGCTATTTCTTTTTCATTTGTTTCATTTGTTTCATTTTTTTATTCTACTCTGTGTCATTTCCTGTGTCATTTACTTATGAATATTTATCACAATATTTATTGTACAAGGCACACCTCTATTGTGCTAAATGTGACTGATTTTCACCTGTTCATTTCTTTTATTTATAATTTTTTGAACTATAACTACACTTAGATCTCTTTTTACTGTGTTCTCGAATTCCATTTCTAATTGCCAATAGAACAACTTTATTAGATAGCCACAGTAGAGCAGTAGTATGATGGAAAGAAGCCTAAATAAAATTCCTGCTCAGCAAATTAAGTTCTCTAAACATTGCTTTCTTTAAGGATAAGATGAGTAAAATAATCTTTCTTTCTTTAACACATACACACACACATACACACACATGCACAAATATAGTACTTTCATTTATATGTAGGGATGAAATGTCTAACATATTTTCCAGTATATAGTATGTGCTAAATATGTGATTTTTTTTTTGAGAATTACCTCAAAGTCAAGTAAAAAACCTAGTCTGTTCCTCTCTTGGTCACTTTCGTACTATTTTTTTCTGTACAAATTAACTACAAAAACAAAACTAATAAAACACTCAAAAAAAATTTTAACCCTAACTTTCTGAAATTCAGCATTTTCCTTAACAGTTATTTTCAGTGTGTTGGGGATAGGGAGAGCACTACCTCCAGAGGGAGTTTGTAAATATGGGAGGGTGTTTTCATCTTTAGAGGCATAGGAAGCTGCTCCTGCTATTTAATGCTGGAGGACCAGAGATACTGAATGTCTCTGAAGGCACAAGACTGTTCAGCATAAGGATTAATTGTCCTGACCAAAATGCCAACATTTTGATAAACTCTGGTCGGTTCGTGGTTAGGAGAGTAGGCTTTAGAGTCAGGTTCTGGCACTAGGCGACTCTGTAGTCCTGGACACATTAATTAATATCTCTAGACCTCAATTTCTTTGCAAAATAAGGATAATCTACTTAAATGGGGCAGTGGGGGAGGGGGTGGTGGGTCGAAAGCTATAGGCCGTAGAATAAAGAGATGTAGAGTTTTTATTACAGGATATAACTCATAGTAAATGTGTGACAAATTGCAGTTTTTTTAAAGGCTCTTTAATATATGCTTTAAAATTTTTTTCCAGCATGCTCTATTTCTATATCTATCAAAATGACCTCATTCATTAAAGACGACATTTCACAAGCAAAATTCTAGAATTTTTTTTTGTTAATTTAAAAAATTGCTGTTTTGATTTTTTTTTTTTAAGTTTTTTTTCTCTATGAGCAGTTGCTGAAAGTCAAGGATGAAGGCTATATAATTTCTAGGAGAATGAAGTCCAGAGTTCTTCCTTCTGTTTTGCTATATCTTCCCTATTTGTAAGTCTTTCTCAATGTTCCTTCTGTTTTGCTATATCTTCCCTATTTGTAAATCTTTCTCAATGCAGAGTCTTTCTCTCTCTCTCTCTCTGTCTGTCTCTCTCTCTCGCTCATTCTCTCTCTCTCTCGCTCATTCGCTCATCTATCCTTCTTCCCTCCTTGAAAACATTAAGTGCCTCTATATTATTGACATTCTGAAGTTCTCTGATGGTATATTTCATGTATGTCCTGAAAACTTAACCAATTCCCCTTTTTGTGTAAATGCGGTTCAGGATTTCGGAGGTTTTTTATGAGATATTTTGTTCATCTCCTGCCCCCCTGCCCCCGATTAAAAATTAAAACACTTATACTAAATGAGGTGATGAGTTAGCTCTACTATCTATGCGATTCAGCAGTTTAGCACCTCATTACATGGCCAGTTTGTCATTCTAGGGTGCCCTCCTTCGTGCTTTATGGAATTTAGTAAAACACTGAACTAAGAGTAAAAGAGCCTTCTGACTTTAACACTCGCTATATGAAAGTTACTTAATTTCACTTGGTATTAGTTTCCTCTTCTGACAAACAGAAAAATATTTTCTAAGATTCTCTTGTCTCTAGAAATTTACGACATGAACACACACTATTTTAGGTATGGTTTATTATAGAAAATGAAAATATTAAGTGACAGATCTTTGGTAAGAAATCATTATAAAAGTAATAGAGAATACATTAGGAAAAACTCTTGTCTACTGCAAAGCCAAGTAAAAATTGATTTTGAATGATATCCTCTAAATATATAACCTGATAACACTGATAAGAACAGTTTCTAAACATGGATGTGTCCATTGGAACAGATGAGCAGGAGGGGGATAGGAGTTCTGAAGCTACAGAAGGGTGAGCTCAGTTGGCAGGTTGCCCAGCCAGACCTGGGGCAGAGCCAGGACAGCTGCCCAGAGAGGCTGTCCCATGACGGAGAAGATGCTGCTCACAGCCTCTGCTCTGGGCTGAGCAGCTGGGCCCCTCTGCCCGGGCCCAGATGCAAGTGATCTGCTTTCATTTCATTTCTCAGCTTTCTCCTTTCACAGGCTCTGGGGTTTGCAAACACCCATTTTTCACTGAGTCTTTTCCTTCAAATAGCTGATGGGACAGTTTGAGTGAATTTGTCTCTTTTTTGTACCAAAGGCTCAGAAATAGAGAGAGAGAGTGGACAGAATCGTAGGAGAGATCTTGGTCATGGTTTAACTAATCAAGGGTTTTCCGAACTTTCTCTAGACAGAAAAGGGGCCACCAGGGTCATCTTGTTCTTCTCTCTGCTTCTATGTTATGGAAGTAAAGAATTCTAAGAAATGAGATTTGCTAATTTTTCTAACTCATTCTCCTGATTCACTCAACTTAATTGCAGGAAAGTTCTTCCTTCTATTTCTCTATATCTCCCCTATTTTTAAGTCTAATAGAACTGAAGAGCAATCTGTCACAGGCCTCTGCAGAGAGTACTCCATTAGTGATCTGAAATTGTAATTCTATTCAAGTTGTATTTTATTGGTTATGTTCTAAGTGCCAGAAATAAGCTAGATCTAGGGAGCTATAAAGAGAAACTATATAAAATGCTATTCCTTAGAGGGTTTATTTTTTAGTGTGAAGAAATAATTTTGGGAAATAATGTGGTTAACAAAAGACAAAAGTTGATTCTTTAAGGTATGACTTCTTGAAACTTTTAATAAGCTGATATGAATTGTGACTCTTCCAGAAAGAGTTTGTATTTCCCAAAGGAATTTTTTTTTTTTAAAATGAGCATCCCAAGGAAATTTCTTTTGGGAAAGTCGTCCTCCACTATGGCCACTTCAGTTCTGTCTTCTGTAGATTAAATAATGACATTCATGCTTTTCACCAGGCTCCGATGATTTAAACACAGGATTGTTTGATTGCCTGGTGAGCCTACTTCTATCTTTTTTTCTCTGAGTAAACCTGTTTAATTTAGAAACATAGGACCTGGGGTCTCAAATGTGATTCACACAGTGAGTGCTCAGAGTTTTTATGCGACCATTGAGGAGGACAGAGCCTGGGGCTCATAGGATGTGAAAATAAGGACAATGGAGGAGGAGGGGTCTGAGGATTTAGTAGGATGGGGGTCAGCAAACTTTTGGAGCTAGGACAACCCCATGGACTTGACCTAGAACATCTCGATAGACTTGAGGAACAGAAAATGTGGAATAATTTTTAGCTTAGTATCTTTATGAGAAGGAAAGAGGGCTTCAGGTAGGGTTTCTCTTTATACCAGATACCTGGTATAAAAAGAACACTCATAACAATGGCATAATTAGTGGTAGGAGATTGGGAGATGGCAGAAAAGCAATAAAGATTTTTGAGTGAAAGAGCATTTAACGTGAGTGAAGCTTAGAGAAAATATAGAGCAAGCGCCAGGGTGTTCGTGACCTCGAGGATTAGGGGAACATTGAAAATTGGGGTCTTTAGGTCCAGCACTCTAAAGTCTTAAAAAGGGTAGGCATTAAAAGCTACAACATCAGATAGAACGTGGAGGCTGCTGTAGAGTTGGTATAAGTAAAAAAAATGCAGGGGAGTGTGAGGTTAGGATTTGCAGGCAGAACACGAAAACTTGAGTTACAGTGAGAAAGGAGCAGGAGATAATAGAATAGGTTGGAGGAAGGGCTGGCTCTTTTCTAAGCCTACATCCTTCTCTCTTATCTCTGCACAAAGGAAGCTCTGAAGCTCTGAGTCCATCCCACCAAAGTTAGCCTCTGTGGACTAGAGACCCTGGAGGGCAGAGTGGACACAGAGGCAGGGGAGGGTGTGGAGCAGAACCCAGTGATGGACGGGAGAACAACAAATCAGGATTTCTGGAAGACGTTAAAAAGTCTCATC